TGTCAAAAAACTTAGGCAGAGAGCTGAAACTGATGTCTGGCCTCAGAGCATTTTCACATGTATGCACACATGTGAAAATTTACACATTTACTACACATACTAATTTTTAAGGAAAGCAATATACTTTAATATCAGCATAATTTAAAGATTTAGTGTCAATATGGCAGTGGTGGTTGATATGGAACACTTGGAGCTAGAGTATCAGACCCGACATAAAAAAATCAGGGACAATCCTTGGCCACACCCCAGTCGCAAACATGAACTCTGCAATTGTCACTGGCTTGCTGCTTGGTGATGGAGTCATAACAACGAAAAAGAAGCTGGCCTCTGCTTTCATTAGCACACATATTAGTGTATATAAGTGTGGATATTTCAGCCAAAGGATGCTTCTGTTAAAATAAGATCAGGAAATATCACCTTGTATCTTTATAATGGTCTAATGAGAAAATAAAGGTCTTTAATTTGTTATAATATTTATATAATTTGCTTATACACAAAGGAAAGTCTATAATATTTTCATCATGCAAAACTCCCATCTCAGAAATACTGTGAAGTAAATTTCTTGGAATTTGTTTCCATTTCCATCTCTTCTTTGGTCTTTTTCTTTTTTGCTTCTGTGCTTACTCACAATGACTGAAGGAGTAGTATCTGCTAATGGCAATGGTTTTTATTTTAGATCACACCCATTTAAAAAAGTGTGCTGAAGGAGCCTCACATTACATAGCAACAACTAAGCACACAAGAAGCTAATACAAGAAGAGTGCCAAGAGTTTAAGGCCAGCCTGGGCAATACATCAAGTGCCAGTCTAGCCAGGGGTACATAAGACTCTGTCTCAAAACAAACACATGGACAGTGTACGCAACAGTAAAACAGCACTTTACTGTGTTAGCCACAATTGGTTTCTGCGCAACTAGCCTTTCCTTTAATATTTTAATGCTGATAAATATTTTTAAACTTGAATGTAACAAAGATTAGATATTTGTAAAGTCAACATGACTCTTACTGTCTATATTACACCATCCAACTCTTGAACTTCTGGTTAGGATAGCAATATCCAGGGCTTACTCTGGAATTCTTAGATGTCATTGAACAGTGATAACACGTTTTCTAATATCTCTGGGCTACTGTGAATAATATGGAAATGAACTGGTTTGGTTCTTTACTGTATAACAATTAGAAACTACTTTTTTTTCATACTTCTTAGTAAATTGAGAAGCAGAAGTGAAACTGCACTGTGAAATTTGCCTTGATAATTTTTGGTGGGTATTCTTCAGCCAGTCGTAGCCTAGAATTTCCACTGGGCTTACTAAATATCCCCAGCTATATCTTGTAGTCTCTTGTAACGATAAATGATACAGGTGATATTTTGAAGAAGCAGATTGTGCAATGTGCCAACCACAGCACACAGGATGGATTGTGCAAACTTTAGTACCGGCACACTGCATAATGTACAGATGAGATGGTGTTTTGTAGATCATTTCCCACTACATTTAATACATGCCACAGCAAATTCTCACCATTACTCCAGAGTCTGTTTATTGAGATCACAAAGGAAACTCTAAGTTAAGATATTGCTTTCCAAGTTTTTTCTGATTGCTCTTTGTCTGAACACTTAGGTTTCTGGATCTTTGAACTTAATGCAAAGCACATTTCCAGACTTGCCTATCTTTACTGAAGTGTTTACAAATACCTAAATTAGAAGAGTTAAAGGCAGCCTGATCTGATTTCTGAATGGTCATGGGGCTATGGCTTAATTGACTGGTTTGATTTTTTAGCTACTTTTATTTCCCTTGCCAAACATTTTAAAAGACATTCTAATGAGAAATGAAATGGCCATAAGGCTGAGGGCCTGAGGAAGCCAGTGATAAGCAGAGAGCTGAGTGGTACGCAGATGCAGCAAGCGGCCGAATGAAGCAATGTGTTTCAACTACCTTTGCAGCATGCATTTGTCTGGTAACATTTTATTCTCCTCAGAACTTCACTAGGAAGTAGCACAGACCTTGATAAGTCTGCACAGATAATAATGATCCATAGAGACAGAATAAGCAAGCTCTTTTGTTTCCATTCCTTAAATCATTCATGTATTTTTTTCCTACAGAATAGGGCTGTAGGTAAAGTATCTTAGAAAGCAACAAAGTTTCTATGGCACAAGTAAATATAACTTGAAAACTGTCAAGTTAAAGTTTAGCTAGCATTTGGAAAAAAGGAAGGTATACGGCTAAATCAAAAAGATGCATTGATGTGGCACCTAAAGAATGTAAATGAATCAAAGCCTTAATGAAAATAGGCCAATGGATGAGTTAATAATAATAGGTATCACAATTCTCTAATTGTTTTCACATAATTTAAATATGTGGATATTTGATTAAGTAAACTTATGAAGATACAGTAAAATTGTAAGCGATAGAAGAATAATCTGCATGGTACTAATTCATGACATGTGTCAATTTTCACCTATAAAAGCAAAGTGTAAAGTGATCAAGTGAAGAAAATGATAACTTGTAGTATCAAAAAGGCAAACTCACTGAGAGTATAGCTCATTTGGTAGGTGATTCCAAGCATGCTGGAGGCCCAGGGTCTGATCCATTGCACTCAAGACAGGGTGTGGTGAAGTCCACCTGAGGACCACTCTGCGGAAAAGAGGGGAGGATCAGAGGTTCATGGCCAGGCTATGCTGCATAGTGAGCTCAAGATGCACCAAAACTGCAGGAGAGCCTGTGTAAAAATAAAAATAAGTAGCTAAAACCATAAAGAAGCCTGTTGTAATAAAAATAAAATAGACCTCACGGTATTAAAATAATAAAAATCAATATATATGAAGTAGAGCAGACCAGGAAGAAAAGAGAAATAAAAAAAATAAAATAAAACAGAATAAACTGAGCCGCATTCATCTAAGATATTCAGATAGGAACTTGTTACTGTGTCGTGCAGTTAGATGAACATGATTATTTGACTAAAGCCTGCCCTGTATGAAGAATTCTTAAGAACTCTCAATTTTGGCCTATGGCAGATGAAATATTTGATTATATGAAAATGTAACTATAGCCAAATTAACATTGAAAAGTGGGGAGGAGGGAGAGTGTGAAATTAGGGAGATTCGTGTGAGCCTAATCTACAGCCTCCAGCTCCATAAATACTAGAGACAAGATACCTGAATGTTGAGTCTCTGTTCTCAGCGTGATTAGTACGGTCAATCTGCCAGAATCTAGAATAACACACCAGTGACTGCGTTCTCAAGGAAGAATTGTCCAGCTGGCCTGAACTGCGATCCTGTCTGTGGAAAGCTGTCTTAATTATGCTTCTAGCTGTACTCACACCCAGCCTAAAGTGGGTGGCATTAATCTCTGGGTTCTGGACCCGCACCTTATGAAAAGGAAGACAGTGAGCTGAGCGCTGGCGTGCCTGCTTTCACTCTCCCTCAGTGGTTAACTATGAAAATATACTGCTTCAATTCCTGCTGTCTTTACTTCCTTAAAATAATAGAGTGAAATTGTGAGCTAAAATAAACCCTTTCGACGGTGATTTGTTTGTGGAAAGGTATTCTTATCACAGTAACAGAAGTGAAACTAAAGCAATGAGGCTGAAGACAAAATATCTGATTCTAAAAATCAACTCAGAGACACTGATTCTTAAAAATACCTAAAAGGCAAACAAATAAGAAGTATACTTGGATATTATTTGGCAGTGGAACACTACGCTAATAATTTAGATGAAATAGGTTATGGGCCTTTGTTCTTTTTTAAAAATCTCTTAAAATTTCATTTATTTATTTATTATTTATTTATTTATTATGGTTTATTCATTTTGTTTTTTAATACTTTTTAATATTAATCACAGGTTATTTACTTTGTATCCCAGCCATAGCCCCCTCCATTGTTCCCTCCCAATCCCACCCTCCCTCCCTCATCTCCTCCCTGCCCCTTTCCACTGATAGGGGAGGTCCTCCTCCCCTTCCATCTGACCCTAGCTTATCAGTTCTCTTCAGGACTAGCTGCAATGTCCTCCTCTGTGGCCTAGCAAGGCTGTTCCTCCCTCGGGGGGGGGGAAGGGAGGTCAAAGAACCAGCCCATTGAGTTCATGTCAGAAATAGTCCCTGTTCTCCTTACTAGGGTACCCAGTTGGATACTGAACTACCATGGGCTATATCTGAGCAGGGGTTCTAGGTTATATCTATGCATGGTCCTTGGTTGTAAAAGCAGTCTCATAAAAGACCCCTGTGCCCAGATATATTTGGTCCTTGTGGAGCTCCTGTCCTCTCCAGGTCATACTAGCTCCCCCTTCTTTCATATGATTCCCTGCACTCTGCCGAAGGTTTGGTTATGAGTCCCAGCATCTGCTTTGATACACTGCTAGGTAGAGTCTTTCAGGGGCCCTCTGTGGTAGGCTCCTATCCTGTTACTTGTTTTTTCCTACTTCCAATGTCCATGCAATTTGTCTTTGCTCAACCATGTTTGTAGCAGCTTTATTCGTAATAGCCAGAATCTGGAAACAACCCAGATGTCCATCAACGGAGGAATGGATACAGAAATTGTGGTACTTTTACACAATGGAATACTACTTAGCAATTAAAACCTAGGAAATTATGAAATTTGCAGGCAAATGGTGGGATCTAGAAAAGATCATCCTGAGTGAGGTATCCCAGGAACAGAAAGACACACACAGTATATACTCACTTATAAGTGGTACTAGACCTGTAAGATAGGATAAACATACTAAAATCTGTACACCTAAAAAAGATAAACAAGAAAGAGGACTGGGGTAAGATGATTAATCCTCACTTAGAAAGACAAATGGGCCTTTGTTCTGAAACCTAGCATACTGCATTTGTTTTTGCTTTTCATTTTGAAACGATAGATTTTATTGAAACTTTTTAATGTTTAGAGAACACAATTTCCTGTGTTTATTAGACACATCAAAGTATATTATAGAGGTATGTTCTTTGGTTGCTACCAGTTAAGAGTGCTGATGAGTATCTGTTTATCATACATTTCACATGTAGGTAAGCCAGTGATGATTGTGACAGAATACATGGAAAATGGCTCCTTGGACAGTTTCTTACGTGTGAGTAATATATTGTATGTACAGTATTTATGTGTCCATATGATAGTGTGTATATAAATATACATACTGACAAGTGAGTCATAGAAAATATTATATATCTTTTAATATTGCACTAAGTATTTCTAAGTACTTGTCAAAATTTCAAGTAAAAGAGAAATAGGCTAGGATTACTTAGCAAAGGGAAAATAGTAAAATTTCATCTTTATCTTGTATGTCCAAATGTGAAAGGTTTGTATTTTAGAACATTAAAAACATTTATGTTATTGGATGTACTGATGAGTTTGATGGGGTTCTCCCTTTTGCTGAGGTGCAGGGGAGGGGAGAATAGGAGAATGAGGGAGGGGCTTTTTCTCTCATCATATTTTATTTGATTATCTGTAGGTCAGGGTCAGCCCAAACCATAAAAATTAGGACAACAAATGTTACTCACGATTATTTATAATGATTATTAATTTTTTTAGCAAGAGAAAAGAATACAATTTCAATCAAATAGCTATCAGCTTGGAATAGTCACACTGTCTGTTTAATATTTTTGTCTTGATATTAGCTTTTGAAAGAAGCTCAAATATTGTACAAAGATCAAGACAATCCTAGTTTTGAACTGAATTCTGAGTATATGATAGGTACTGGGTAATGCAAGCACTATTGATGTTATGTTAGCCTTGTATTCATTTGTCTACAGATAATGGTGGACTGAGATGCTTTTAGTTAAAATATGCAAAGTCAGTAATAAAAAAATGTTGGCATATGAGATTGTAAAGTAAAAGGAGCATATTTTAGACTTGATCTCAAATCCATTTCAGAAACACGATGCCCAATTCACGGTCATCCAGCTGGTGGGGATGCTCCGTGGGATAGCGTCAGGGATGAAGTACCTTTCAGATATGGGCTATGTGCACCGGGACCTTGCTGCTCGGAACATCTTGATCAACAGCAACTTGGTGTGTAAGGTGTCTGACTTTGGACTCTCTCGGGTACTGGAAGATGACCCAGAAGCTGCCTACACAACCAGGGTGAGTAATGAGGATTCCTGCCACCTTTGTTTTCCATACCGTAAATGTGTGGGTGTATAAACAAATGGAAATGATAACCTCAAATCATGTGTCAGTTATGTTTTCCATAAATGTACACTTCTCTCAATAATTAAAATAACATTTACTTTGTGAAAAATGGATAGCTTGTATTTATATAAAGCCAAATAACAATTATAATTCTGAAGTAACGTACTTGGCCTAATAAATCCTACTCAAAATGGCAAGGTTTCTACATGCTAAAATTATTGACATTTTACTCACTATTTTTGAATGAGCTGTCCTTAACAGGCAGGTTTGATATATTCTCTGGGTTCTTATGATACTGCGTTGTTTTTCAAACTTTTAAAATTAGTATCCTCAATAAGGATTTAGAACTTTAAAAAAGGCCATTCTTAAATTGATTCTGAGGCATTTTTATCTTTAGCATATATGTTCTGAATATATAGCTATGTGTAGCAGGTTTTCTTTATTAGTGAATATATTTCTTGTAGAGTATTTTTCCTTTTAGATGAAGAAAAATATTAACCTTGTAGCTAATTGAATGTGTTGATAATAAGGGCATCATCTATGAACACCTGAGGAACTCAGAAACATTGGTTGGTTAAACCATGGTCTCTCTTGATGATTCTCTGCTCTCTAAATACATCAGCTAGTACAGGTTCTAAAATAGAGCATCACGTTTCTGACTACCTTCTTACCCAGGAGAAAACACATGTAGCAAAGGATAATATTTACTAATCATCGCAAGAATTGACCATATTCTTCTCACTACACCTCTGTCCTCTGATGATGTCTCTTATAAGCTTTCACAGCTCTATAAACTTCAAACAGCCCAGAAAAAAACTATCCTTACTTGTACTGTCCAAGTAATAATGGTCATATTAAAAAGATGCATCCAGTTTTAATAAAGCATATCTAATAGGAAACATATATGTGAACTTATTTATAATACAAGCTAGCTCTTGAGTCAGGCTCTAATTTCTCTGTCACATATAATTATTAAATACGAGCATTCTTGATTGCAATTCTATTATTGATCCTAGAATACTCAAAGGAAAGACTTCTGTAGTGGGAAGTGGACAGTGTCACATATGTGATAATATGCTTTCTGGAGATTCACTTGTGTAACTGCTCAGAGCTTCATTATACTAGTTGCGGCTTTGTTAGGACTAGAGAAAGTAGAGGACCATTTATTTGTCTTTAAGAAGGAGTTGCTGTATCAATTGTCTATATTCTTATGTTGCATTTCTGAATAAAAATTCAAGAGAATTTGTGTTGAAGTTTCAGGGTCAGAAGATTCTTGCCAACCACACCAGCCAACCACACCAGCCAACCACCATTCCCTTCTGGCACAGTTACTCAAAGTAGTTCAGTGTTCATCCTTCTACTCCTTTGGAGCACTCTCAAATACCCATGGGGTTCCCAGCTTCCTTCAGAGAAGCATCTGCATGTCTACACTAATTTGGAAATCATTGACATAATCTCCAATAACAAGCTTTGTTTAGTACAGTAATTTTATGATTTACTCTTAAGATGAGTATGATAATAAAGTCACTGGACTGTTATTTTTTTTATGTAAACACATCAAAATATCTGAGTTACCAACCTAAGCAGTTGTTTCTGGAGAATAAACTGACTGAAGAACCACTGTTAAGCAAAATATGAGAGCATCTCCTTTCAAAATTTAAAGCTAGAATGTGTCAAGTAACATTAATGAAATTCAGGAAATACCATTCGGTATTTCAATGTATTGACTCTTCGCCATTGCCTTTCTGGAACTGTTGCCTTTAGGTAGAAATAAATCAAACAAAGAAATCATGGACCATTGGTTCAGTGTTGTCGATGGAGGGTGTCTGCTGGTCCCTTTCCTTTTCAAACATCTCTGTGAGAGGCATGCAATATTTTTAAAAAGTAGTGAAGAAATCGTATCAACTAATTTTGTGTTTAAAAAAAAAAGACCTTATAGACTGGACACATAGCTCTGTAGGCAAGAAAAATTGCTATACATCCATGATGACCTGAAAGCAACTCTCACTATCCATGTAAAAACCTAATTCATATGTACATAATTTAAATAATAAACAAATAAAATGTAAGGAACTTCAGCTGGAACGTGTAGGCAGTTGAGAAGATGCTTTATCTCTAGACATACCACCTATTTCTTTGTACTGCTCTTTTCTATGTTCATATATATGTGAACATATATGTATGAATGTATTATGAATGATATATCATATAATGATCCCCCTTTATGTTCTCAATGGTGTTATAAAAAGTAGGGGTGAAACAGTCATTTGCATGCCTGTGTGATTCTATTTTCATAAAGATTTCAAGCTGGAATCACCTATTTTCGAAACCCACATCCACTTATTTCTCTTTACTTTTCACTCCTGAGTTATGCCAAAAAATGCAAATGTTGACACTGCACATTATACGATATCATCATGAATCCTCTACCCTCTGAAAAATCCCATTTCAAACTCCTGGGATGTTGCAAGTGAAAAGGTTATAAAGTTTTAGTGTTATTATGAAAATAGTTTCAAGCTCACACACTCCCTGAACTGCTCTTGGGATCCCTACATATGCCTGAATGACACTTTGAAGACAATTGCTACATGTGCTTTATCAGGAAAAGTACCTTGAAAACTAAATAAATATCTCAGTAGTCATTCAATGATATAAATCTAAATTATGATGTAGTTTTATGTGATATGATATGTTTTAAAGAGCTGTTTCTAAAGCATAAATGCAGCTGCACTCTGCCTTCACAAATCATACTGAAAGCTCCAGGATTTCGTTTGGCTGGTATGATTGGAGCATGCAGCCCCAGATTTATAAATCCCAGAGAAGTTCTGTTGTTGAGCAACAAAGAAAAAAAAAAAAACCTCTTTCTATTTTTTTCAACACTTCATGTTTTCTGTCTTCTTTGTTTTGAACAGTTCTATTGTATGATTTACTCTAAATGAACCATGTTAAGAAGCAAGAATCTAATCATGTAAGTTGTGCTCTGACCACCACATTCATGAGCAGTCCATGGCATGTGTTCTATGCCTTTTGCTCTCTCTGCCTCTGCCTGTCCCTCCCTCTTTCTCTGTGTGTGTGAGTGTCTCTCACACACATATGTACAAACATATGCATGCTCATTCACATAAGTATGTACACTGATGCCTATACACGCATATACTCATACATACTATACACAAATACATATTTACACAGATATACACATGCATGAAAACACCCAATGAAGAAATATAATAAAAGAGCCACATTGCCTAGAACTTTGTGCCACTGAATAAGTTTTCAATATTTATTTGTGACATTTCGTTTTCTTATTTATTTATTTTATATGATACTTTTTACTTTAGCATTTTTTGTATGTATGCCATATTTGCATGTGTCTCTGCCAATTAACATTCAAACAGAACCCACAATTTCAATATATCAGTTTTGAATCTGCTGTTACATAAATGGTTCCCCCTAGAGAAAGGGAAGACTTTTACCTATCTATATGCCAGAGAGTCAGGCAACCTATTTCTTTTCACAATCTCAATGATATTAGGCATAGAACTCTTTCATGGACTGTCTAAGGAAACTTGAGAAACCGGCTTTCTTTTGAGTCTATCATCCATTGTTACATCATTTTCTCTTTACTTCGTTCTGACATTGTATACTGAGCATAACCAATCAAATTTTAAGCTTGGTTGAGAGCATCCCATCTTTGGTTATAAAGAACATTTTATGTCCTGTAGATTTTAGATTTAGATCCAAACACAGCAATATTGTGTTTGGCTTTATATTAACTAACTTCATTTTAAATGAGTAAAAATAATGGCTAATGCTAAAGAATTTATCTGTTGTTTTTTTTTTTAATTTGCTCATAATACCTCCATTGTAAATGATGAAAGTCTAATGTTTTGTTCTTAAGAAGTTCTCAACTGAAAACTGATAACATCAAAAGAAACATGATACAAAACATATTATATAGATGAGTAATATAAGCCATATTTCATTTACTCAAGAATAAAATAATGTGAGAACAAAATATCTAAGTACTGTTCTTTGTGTGCTGATAATAAATACCCAAACTAACTAAAGGGAACCAATGCACAATTACCACCCATTCTTTTGTACTGGGTATAACAAGTCCTATGTGAAACTTCATGAAATGAGGCCACTTACTCATACCAAGTCTAAATGATATGTTGATGTCAGTTATCAATGTTGCATCAAAAGTTGATAAGTGACCTTGAATATTTCTGACATTTAGGTAGTATGATCACTTCAGCCTGGGAAAGATAAATCTATCTGTATTTATGTGATGGAAAATCAAAGCTGTAATTTGGAAGTGGAACACTGAGTAAGGAAACTTTCTTGAAATGTATTTAAAAATATTATCTACAGTCCCTGGAGGACTAATTCACAGATTTATTCAATAAATTTGTGGCTATTGTGTTCCCGACACAGTTCTTGACTGAGAATCTAGAAGTGAGCAGAGCCAGGATCTGATCTCATGGGTTTCCACTCTCCGTAGTTCAGATTGGGGGGTAAACATCAATCGAAGAAAGCAGTTATATCGGTGGGATGGCTCATTCATTTTCTTTCTTCCCCTTTTCTGTTAGAGGGACTAACCAAGTGTTACTCTGTAGACCCACTTGGCCTAAAATGCACTGTGTATATTTGTATATAATATTTTCATTTCCTAAGAAGATCTGTCTGTTCCCTTTAGTCCCTTACTCTATACCTGCCCTCTGTGCTTCTGTGGATTATTGCTTGGTTATCATTGACTTCACAGCTAACTTTCACATATAAGTGAATACATACTAGGTTCGTCTTCTTCTGTTTACTTCACTAAGAATGATTTTCATTTTTTTTGTTCCACCCATTTGTCTGCAAATTTCATGCTGTCATTTTCTAAAAGCAGATGGCTAATACTTTATTGTGTAAATGTACCACATTTTCTTTATCCTTCTGTTGAG